ATTCATTTTTACATCATGCAGTAAGTGTAAAAGTAAGAATACTTTTCTTCTCGAAAATTATAAAAATCTCTCGCTAAAGAGAAGATTTTCCATTACTGAACAATTTTTCTTTTTTTTTTTTCATGATCTTAAAAATTGAAATCTTCCCTCTATAGTGAGCCTTTTAATTATATGATTTGTTTTCGCCATTTTACTGAACTTAATAATTCATTAATTCTAAATGAATTATAACAACAAACGACCTCGTATGCATATCATTAAATTCGTCTTAACAAATGACTTCGAAATTTCAAAAACGAACGATCTGCAAAATATAGTTTACACAATATGATTTTATACCAAACAATGTTTGTGGAAACATTTCTTTAATACTTCCAAGCTTTTATAAAATCGAGTTTGCAGGATTCATTCAGACTCTGAAGTTACACACTAAAATAAATAAATAAATTCATATTTAATTATGTTATTAAAAAATATATTTCAATCAACTTTTTCTAATACCTTTAAATGGATGTAAATAATCAAATATATAATGAATTTTTCATCTTAATTTTCATCAATCGCTGTTTTAAATCATTATATTCCTTCACTGATGAAGTATCACCACGTTCAATTCAATAAATAACTCTCGGGGCAGATGTGACGATATTGTCCATATTTTTTGATTTTAATTCTCATAACATAATAATGCTGAGGTGCAAAATCTATCTAAATTGATACAACAGGATGTAACACGAAAATTGTAAGAAACTCCTAAGACTTTGAAATTATGGAACAAAAAAATATATTCATGTATCTCATCTGTGGTTGGACAAAGTATAACATAGTTGGATGTAGTAGAATAACGTAAAATTACTTAAGAATAAAATACCAGACAGCCTCATTTTTTCCATCAGCTCCATTTATTTCCTTTTCCAAAAGAACTATCATCAGACATTAGAAATTACAATAGGCTAACATCTGTATGGAGCATCTTGAAAACGAATATTTAAAACTTCTTTGGAAGATATGTTAAAACATCTTTGTGTAGATATGTGGAAGATTTATAATTTAAACACCAGTTAAATTACTAAAGTAAATAAACGGAATATTAAATATTAAAATCATTTCAATGTTTTATTAATGCGAAAATTATAATATCAAGTAAGACCTGCTGTGGCACTACACTGGCATTGGTCAGATGTAAATGACTTATATAAGTAGGCCAGACGTAAATGGCTTACATAAGTTAGGGTGCAGGCACAGAACAGGTCGTGGTCACCGTGTAGTTGACTAGTCAGCTGACTGAGAAAATAAACCAATTAAAACAAATATGATAGCACATAGAGTGGCAGGTGACTAATCAGTTCACGGTTCACTTTGCTGTAATACTTTGCTATAATATTACTTCTCTTATTTTCACTTTCACAATCAGTCAGCTGAGTAATTAACTATGTATCAGTTTCTTGTAATATTTAAATGCGGTCTAAAGATGAAATATTTTATACAATTTTATGGTATATACAGGAGATAGATTTTATAGGAACATATTAAATGTTATATAAATTTATCAGATAACTTCAAAAAAAGTAAACAAACTTATTACCCAATTATACAATATATACCATAAATAAAATTACTTCAATTTTCATAAGTAATTAGAGATAACGATATTAGAGAAAAAAAATATATGTTGATGAAAATGGATTTCATTTAGAATTATATTCCAGTCGTATCTACAATTTAACTGCACAAGATACAAAAAGAATTACAGTAATTCTGTAGTCTTTGTTAGTTCACTATACTATCAGATTTTCCAAAACTATTTTTTCCAGTATTTATTATCCACGTACAAATTCTCCAGTAATTTTGATCCATGTATGCGATGATCTTTAACTGAGAGATACTGACATAGTAACATTTACTCTAGAATATTAACAAAAGAATTATAAAATGAATGATTAACAAGCATGTAACTATCAAATGCGAAATCTCGAAGTGTTTTATTATTGGACCCGTGGACTGGTCACTGTCCATCTACATTACAAGACAGTTTACCATCAAATTAACATGTTAAAATATCCATATGGTCAAAGAAAATTACAATTGCTTGTAGTAAGATATATACTTAGTAGTATATGACAAACTTTGTACGAAACTTATACATTTAATTTTTTAATTACAGTATTAATCTACATGTATAGAATACATGTCACTAAATTGTAATTTCTTATTCTTATTAAACAACTTTTGATCACCAAAATGTGTAAATATATTGATGAAAAATTAAATAAATTTTAAAATATAGATTTGATTTTTTTACAAGATTTTATCCCATCTCGTTGTTCATATACGGTAATCATGCTATCATACGATGTACAAATTTCTATTTTTTAAACATTTTTTTAAATAATTTTATACCACGAAGAATAATTCATAATATTCACGTTATATAAGTGTTTTCGTAAGGAGAATAATTAAGATAAAAGATTATAAGAATGAAAATGGAACAAAATATACAAGAAAAATGGAGAAAAATTAACAAATCAAAATAATGTAAAAAATATAAGAGAAAATGCACAAATAATGATAAAGCAGGAAGATGAACCATATCCAGTAATGTTAAAAAAGCAATCATTTTGAAAATATTAATATTAGAATTAAAACAGTGCTCTGAATAAAAGTCAAATAATCTAACAATGTATCTAAAATTAGAATAACATGAAAACTAAAACCAAACTGTGATAACTAACGTGATAAAAAAACGACAAAAAAAAACTTATCAAGTGATATTCTTTTTATCATTTCCTATTTATTCGAATTATTTTGATAAATTATAATAAATGTCAATTTTTCAGCTATAAACTATAAAATTATATGTACCATTTATCAAATTTAAAAATTATATATGATATTATTAAAAATTTAATAACAGCGCAACTATGTTATCATTTTTTCTCAAACTATAAGAATAAAATAAATAAATATATATATATAAATATACATGTGTAGGAAATTTATAAAATGGTTTATTATTTTTTCATACAAATACTTATATAAAATTATAAATAAATTTCTAAAATGTTTGTTTTACGCTAGTAAAGCTGATGTACCGGGTGTGTAAATTTGTACTTGACGATCCGATAACTTATATATATATTTCATTACCTCAGGCCAATTATATTTTATTCTAGCATCATCCATTTTCCAATTAATTGTTATATTTCCAGATGCATCACTAGAATATCCTGTTTCAAATAGCTCGGTCTTAATAAATAAATGTGCTATGTATTTAAATCCATGTGCAAGTACATTAGAAAAAGAATTTTCATCTTTATAGGTATGCATTATAACGCAAAGTTGGCACATATTATAACATTCAATAAGTGATCTTAAATATCTCATATAATACATAGACTCTTTTAAATTGCATCCAATATTATAAATATGACTTAAGTCGTCAATGATAATAATAACATGTTTATTATTTTGTATTATTTTATCACATTCAGTTTTAATAGTTACAAATATATCATGAACTAAATTGTTTGCTGCTTGTTCATATATATATTCCATGTTAGATGCAACAATCTTCATTGGTTCTATAACTGTAACTTTACCTTTTTCTCTCAGTAATGTAAGATTATAACCAAATTTCATGCCCATGTTATGATAATGATTCATTGTATTATGAAATAATACAAAACAGATTTCATAATTTCTTTTTAATGCATTAGATATAATAGAACTCAATACAAAGTTTGCATTAGTATCATGTTGCTCTTCTATACAAATTAATTTTCCATCCATATTCACTTTATCAATACCAAGTACATTTGATACTGAATCCATTATATTAGTCATAATTCACATTAAAAATAACAGGAGAATTTTATTCTTAATGGATTTATGAATTAATTATAAATTGATGTTATTATATCTTCAACCTAAATTATTTTTTATACAATTATATTTTATTTTTTAGATACCAGACACACAACAATTATTGGTTATGTATGTTGCATTTAAACACTATCAAACAGGATAAATTTTTCAGCTTAATTTAACCAGTAATTAATGATTAATTATATATAACAGAACATAAATTTCACATCTTGTTAGATTGATACACGTACTCTACGATAATAGAGAATACATGCTTTCACTAGCTTTAAACAAGTTAGTTAAATCTAAGGTTAGATTGAAATGCATCCAGCTAATTACTGAACTGTTACAACCAACGGCGCGATTTTTCAAGAAAATTTTAATATATCACACTTTGAATTATAATTTCAATATAAAAAAATACAATATTTAACATATTTAACATATATTTAATATTTAACATATTTTATAGTAATCTTAATAATTTGATGTTACAATCAATGTACATAAATTAAAAATTAATTAATGATATTCCAATATGTTTGCAAGAATTGTAGAAAAATAAAATATCGTAACAACAATACATCTATTTGCATATTCTTCTTTCAATACTAAATGAATTTTGTACAAATCTATCTCTATACATCATGTATTGGATCTATACTTTACATACATTAATTTCCTATAAAGTTCATACAAATTGTTAAAAGTTCATATAAATAAAGAAATATATTTAAAAATTTCAATCGTATAAAAATATTCAAATGTTAATGATTCAACAAAAATCATCAGAATAAGAAAAATGATTAAGAACTAATAAATTATATATAATATATAATATATAATAATTTGTTATATATAATAATTTGTTAAGAAATAATAAATTATACATAATTTATTAAGAACTAATAAATTACATATAACATATAGGATGTAGCTGCTTGGAATACATTTTTCTCCAAAAAATAATTATAATATATAAACATTTAATTTACATCAATCCTTCTCTTTTTACATTTCGCACAATCATAGGTAATATGCAAAGTCATACGTAAAAAAATTTATATATCTTTCAATACTCAAATATTCGTTTGAGAATAATCAATTTTGCTGAAAAAAAATAAAATAAAATAAAACTACTTTTAAAAGTAACCATCGATAAAAGGAAGTTCCAGTTTTGAAAGGAGGTGGTATAACACGTGGCTATCAGCTGATGCGTGCGCGTTCACTAACTTTCCAGATCTATTAACTGATTTTGGACATTACATCAGTCACAGTTCAGATATCGTTGGGGATAGTTGTTAACCAAGAATGGCTTAAAAGTTTTATTAATGATACTATTTATAGTAAGTTGATTTTTTTACATCGCACTCCATTACGTCTTCTTATTTATATCTACTGTGTTCAACTCATCTGTTTTTTTTCTTTTTATTATTTTGATTTATTAATCAATGAAAGTTCACTATCATTATTGTTTCGTTTTTGTCATTTAAATTGATAAAAAATAATAATTTATATAATAGATAAAATCTTTTTTATTTGCAATTTGCTAAAAACATCATATGTTTGTACAAAATATATGAATATATAGAAATAATATGAATGTTCTATTTACACATCGTTAACAGAGTTAATTATCACAGGGAATTATGATTAAACTGTACTTGACGTGCATGTATGTGCGGTAAAATTATAATTTATATCGCGATTCGTGATAACGTTTAAAGTAAACTGTTGTTTGAAGTTTTTACAAAATATTTCAAAAAATATCAATTAAATAAATTCATCGATTTCTTTATGACGATTTTTTTATGCTATATTACTTACTTAATTTATTTAATTATAAGATTTGTTGTTTGTATAAGTTTTTTCATAATTATATGTGATTTTCGTAACAAAATTTTACCCTGCACAAAAGTTACTATTTTTTTAATAATTTACCAATTAGCAATTATGCGTTCAACTTATTGTTTAAAGCACATTGAAATTTAAATTTTCTTTTTTATAAGTATACGTATGCATTCATATATGCATATATATGAATAATAAGTAACTAAAGAATATGGCACATACACTCGCGCGCATACATACACATTACTACATATATATTTTAATATCTATAATAATTAATTTATTATATACTGTTATTATATTGTATATTAATAATTAATACTAATACTTTAAAATAATTATTAATAATTTACTTTAATAAATAATACTTTTTAAATAATTATTAATAATTCATTTTATTATTTTATTTATTAGCTTTTTTAATTTATGTACCTACATACATGTGTGTACATTTTTATTTATATATGTATATATAATTCTGAATCATGTAAAAATACAAAAAAATAAGTAAACATATTAATCAAATTTTATTTTAAATAGTTTCATTTATTAATTATTCCAATATGTCTTTTTTACTTGTTTTATGAAAGCATGAAACGTAGAAAACATGACAGATAAAACAAAAAAATTGTCGCGGTGGTATTTTGGTGGGCTTTCCTCTGCAGGTGCTGCTTGTGTTACCCATCCTTTAGATTTATTGAAGGTATCTTTATTATTAAATTTTTAAATGAATATAACATAAAAGTAACTCCTTTTTTTCTAAGATTATAGTTAAAAATAATTATAACTAAAATAACAGTTAAAAATATTAATCATAACTTTGTGTTTTAAATACTGAGTGTTACGTGAATAGTGAGCTTTATAAAAAAAATTTTGTGATGTACTGGAATGCGATAGCATTTCACTTACACACACCACATTTATAGGTTCATTTACAAACACAACAAGAAGGCAAGATATCTATAGCAAGATTAACCACATCTATAATACAGAATCAGGGAATTCTAGCTTTGTACAATGGATTAAGTGCTTCTTTGCTTCGTCAACTTACATATTCTACAATTAGATTTGGAGCATATGAAGTAATTTATTTATATTATATGTAGTATAATTAATTTGTTTGTTTATACTGTATGTTTAACTTCTCTATCTATTTGTTGTTATTATTTAAAATATTAGATTACATTTTCCATTTGGATATACATGTAGGTAGGTAAACAAACATTTGAAACATCTGGACAATCATTATTATTTTACCAAAAGTTATTATTGGCTGGATTATCTGGTGCAGCTGGTGGTATTTTTGGAACACCAGGAGATGTAATTAATGTACGCATGCAAAATGATATAAAACTTCCACCAGAACTAAGACGAAAGTGAGAATATAAGTTACTATTTTAATTGATTTTTGCTCCTGTTATTTGATACTAAATTTCATTATAGTTATAAGCATGCTTTAGATGGAATAATACGTGTAATTCAACAAGAAGGAATACGTCATTTGTTTAATGGATGCTCTACAGCAACATTAAGAGCTGCATTAATGACTATTGGACAATTAAGTTTTTATGATCAAGTTAAAATTATGTTGTTACAAACTGGTTACTTTAAAGATAATCCTGTAACTCATACAGTATCAAGTGTATTTGCAGTAAGTACATCTAAATAATATATTTCTAATATGTACCAAAAATATTTCAAAATATTTTTTTAAGTATTTTATGTCATATTTGTTATATATTTATTTTATTAAATGAATGCATTTGTATAATATAATTCATAAAAAGATCAAGTGTAACATATTTAACAGAGCATATTTATAATTATGTATATTGATTATTCAATGATTATTCATATGACCTTCTATTTTTAAAGAAATAATATATAATAATTAAACAGAGTTAAAATATATTTTTCTTATCTTGAGTAAAGTATAACATGGAAGCACATGCAAGTATTTTGCAATTACAATGGTATCATTAATCAAGTACAATTGTTTATAAATAAAAAAAATCACTGGTCAAACACTTTTAAAATATAAGTAAACGAAAAATACACATAGTATAGTATAAAAAAATATTTTTTGCAGAAAAATAGTCTTCCTTTTTTTTAACTATTTTTAGATTCATAATATATCTGATCTTTTTAATTTAAAATAACTTAGCAAATATATTATTAGTTTTTGTGTAGAACATTCTATATGAAGTACATATAAAATATAAAATAATTTGAGAAAATATGGTATGAAAAGTAACAACAATGTTATTTAATATATTTAATATGAAACAATATATTTAATATGAAAAATAAACTATTTTAAATTAATAACTCTATTTATGTATATATTTTTAAATATAGTTCAAAAAATAATTGTTTATATTAAATATTATTTGTCAAAATTTGCTAAAATTGTTCCAAGTGCAAAAAGACGAACAAAAAATAATATTCTTGATATTCATTTAAATAGTATGAACATTATGTTATATTTGGTTGTAAATAACTGGCATATATTGAAAAAAAGAAAACTATATTTAATCAAATATTTTTAAAATATATAATTTTAAAAAGTGAATTTAAAAAAATATATATATATCGTATAAATTAAATAACAATTCTTTTTTTTTATTTTCAAAATATAATATATATAACAAACATGATTATTGCTATCACTTCACATTCACAGTTGTTCACAATGTCTTATTCTTTTACAAGGGCGCTGTAGCTACAACTCTTACGCAACCATTGGATGTTTTAAAAACACGTGCAATGAATGCTAAACCGGGAGAATTTAAGGTAATTGTAATAATAAAATTGAATGCTCTAAACTGCATCGAATGCACCAATATTTATGCACTAAAGATTCATTTATGTAATATTTTGTAGAATTTAATGGATCTATTTTTGTATACTGCTAAGCTTGGACCATTCGCATTTTTCAAAGTAAGTTTTTTTATTGTACTGCGCTAATTTTTTCTAATTATTTTTATATTATTATATTCTAATAATAGGAAGGTTATAATCTGGGTAAACACATTTGAAATAGATTAGAATTAGCAATTTTATGGAATTTTTTATAATTAGTTTAGATAATTTAGTTGAAGTTTAATTAAACTTAATTCTTTCACCAAATAGTTCGGAGTTGAATATTTTAAACAAGAGAATTAATATGTAGCTATATTGTGCTTAGTACAATATACCACTTAATTACAACATAATTTTATTTCAATTTTATTTCTTGTTAGAAATAACATTTTTTATTTATATATTTATATATTTTTTGCTATTTATATATATTTTGCACGTAGTTGATCAAATATATCGAAGAAATATATAGAAGAAATTAATTGTAAATGTTTTAGATAGTGTAATGATAGTAACGATAGTAAAGATATTATTGAAGATATAGTTATGATTCAATTATATATATTAAAAAAATAGAGAATATTTTGTATCTGATTATATTTAATTTTTATTTCTGCATGTATTGCATAATAGTATATAAAAAGTAATTATTTATACATATGAGATTTATTTTTATGTAAATATAAACAAAAATAATTTGTAAGTATATCTAATTTTCTAAAGAAATTACATATCTACTTAAGAAAGAAAATTACATACAAGCAAAGCTTGAAAATTATATTCAAGCTCTAAATTTTTTAATCTACTTTATATCATAAGATATTTATATTTTAATTATAATTTTCCTAATTACATCTTTTATTTTAATTAATTTGTATTGATTTTATTTCAATTCAACGCAACAAAATGTGTTTATTCAAATAATACTCTTCCTGATAATGTATTCTTATAAAATAAAATTTTAAGAGTATGATTTTAAAAGTATTTTGATTATTTTATTTTAGGGTTACGTACCTGCATTTATCAGATTAGCTCCACAGACTATCCTTACTTTTGTCTTTTTAGAACAATTAAGAACTAATTTTGGATTCTATCCTAATATTCAAGTATCATAAAATTTAATTAATTATCTTGCACATAACATTCATCTGAAATGTTCTATGAAGAAAAAAATTAGCATATGACATTTAAAAAAAATTTATACAAATATTTGTCCTATTTGAAGTTGTCCAACTTATAGTATATATAAAATTTTACTTAATTACATAATTTTTATTGATATTAGAACTATCAAATCAATTAAAATAACTAATAAGTTTTTACAATTACTAAAAGTATACAAATGTTTTATACAATATTATAATTTATTACTTCAATTTTAATGAAATATGTATGACATATTTAAATACATATTACATTTCAATACTTTTATTGACAGAAATTTATTGATTTATTAGATTTATATATATTAGTAAATAATATATTAGTAAATAATATATTGTATTATCTTATGCACAATATTTTTATAATAATTTCCATGATAATTTATTGATTATAACAGTTAATTTTCTTATATAAAAATATACATGTCATACAATTTTATAATAAGGAAAAAGAAATTCAAATAGGACAAATATTATTTTTGTATGTTAAATTTACTGTTAAATTTATGCCCAAGTTTTATGAAATATCTTTGGTAAGTATTTCATACTTCTTTTTCAATATTGTATGAACTATATTTGTACAAATGTTAGATGGTATAAATATTGATATTTTCATTTAGCATTTTACTAATGCTAATACAATTGGGCAAATACAATACTTCCTGATTAAATGATACTAAATATGAATTTTATAACTATATATGATAAAGTCTTTTATTTCAAAAATAAATTTAAATTATTTTATAAACACTTAAAAAATTTTAAATCGTTAATTATGCATTGATTTTATGTTATAATTTTAAGAAATCATTAATTTCTTAAAATGTTTATAGTGTTTTAATGTTTGCTCAATTATATAATTAATACATATTATTTATCAATATTATTTATTTTTATTAAAAATATTAATAGCAATAATTTAATATAAAATAAATATATTTAAATTGATAATAATTTTATTATTTTTGCCAATGAATTCTTATTGATTTTAATTTTCATATTTTTAATTTTATAAAATTAATTTTTGTTTTCAGAAACAAGTGAATTTGTTTTATAAACATATATGTATTTGTAACACATGTTTAAAACAATTAAATGTTCATATAATCAGAAATATTGTAATTGTATTCTTTTAAATAATTGTATAATTATCAAAATTGCTACAATCTTATTTCAAATTGAGTACAAAACAACCTTCTAACATTCTAACATATAATACATTCCATAAAGATACTATTATAATTATGTATACACAAATTTTTATATAAATATATTTCATTATATAATATTTATATTTACAGTAATATATTTTGCTTACAAAGATATTGTTTTATAATTGTTAATGTACAAAGCAACACTGTGAAAAGCAAATATTTTTTCAATTTGTATAATATGAGAATGTATGTACATATGCCAATTTATCATGTAAATTATTTTAAATTATTTAAAAATAAAAATAAATTTAAACAAATCTATAAAATAAATTTAAATTCAACCGTGTGATCATATTTTGTATTGAAATGAAGAGCACTCAAATTTGCTATAATTTATTTATTTATAATTTATTTTTTACATTAGGAACAATTTATATAAAATAAATAAACAATCACTACAATAACATATATGTTATGGAAAAACATTTTCCATTTAAGATTTTATACAGCTAAATTGTATAAATGCAATCGATACTATAAATTTTAATTTATTAAAAAAATATTTCTATGTATTTAATTTATATATTTTTGACATCCAAATAAAATTTTTATATCCAAATAAAAGACCAATAAAAAATATTAAATATGATGAAAGCTACAGGAAATACAATTCTGCTACGTCTATCGATCCACTGAGCAATTTCTTGTGGAGTCATTGTTGTAAAATTATGCAATTGTGCAAGAGTTGCTCTTCGTTGCAAAGGTTTCGGTGATGATGTGCTATTAACAGTTATAACGCTTCCAATAGAACATTCTTGATCTTTATCTTCTTCAATTTTAACAGAAGGAATGTTAAGAGTACTTGGAAAACTCTGTAATAAAAGTACAGTTGTAATGACAAATTGTATACTTTTGAATATTTAACTTTTCTTACGATATATTTTCTTACGAGACATACTTACGTGTACAGTAAGATAATTTTGACTCGAAAAATCTTGTTCACTGGAGTTTGCGTTATCAAGTGAAGACCAAGATCGTGATCGCTCCAACCCCGTAGTATTTTTTTGAAATTGTTTCCGAGCCAGTTTGGGTGTTAACGTTGATTTTAATATGTATTTGCTATTTACCTTTTTTAAGGGAACATTTTTTCTAAACATGTTTATAAAATTAATATGTGTGAAATATGAGATTTCATGTTCATACATAATATATACATACTTTCGCCTATAAATTGTATTAACAAAAGCAAATTCAACCATTGCTGCAAATAAAAATATTGTACAACCTAAAAACCATATTTCACTGGCTTTTATATAAGAAACTTTTGGCAGGGAGTTTTCTACTTTGGATGCAAGAGTCATAAATGTCAAAATAGTGTTTGTTCCTAGATATAGAAATTTTAATTAATTCTTTGTTTATTAGTTTATCTACAGACTAAGTCTGTAAGACATCTCTTAAATATATCACCTAAAACTATTCGTGGAGGACTTGCATCCATATGCAACCAAAAAGACACCCAAGAGATAACTACTATTAGTATAGATGGAATATAATAATCCATCATAAAAAATCCCATTTCACGTGCTAATTTAAATGTTATACTAAGTGAACTGAAATTACCAGCTGCAAATATGAGAAATAGTTAATTAAAATAGAGTTTTGAAACATTATTTATTATATGTAACAAAAATACATGCCAAAATGACCATAATGTTGCTGTGATGTAGTATAATATACTTCTGATGTGTTAACCCATTTCTCAATTAGCTTATATTCAGTTAAATGTAATTCATCTGCAAATATGATTGGATCTTGGTCCCAATACAACTCCATATCAACCACATTGTATGTCCCTGTAAAAATTCCATTCATTCCAAGGAGCACAGTTGAATAAAATAGCTGACTTTGTAGTACAAAAACTATAACATCCTACAGCTTTCAAAAATAAGTGGACATTCTTGTACATCAAATGGAAACTTCTCCAAACGGAGTCCGCAATTAAGAGTTGCTTGCAACCTGTAATAGTTTATATGCTACTTTTATTACATGAGTTATTTCAAATTATGTTAATATGTTAATAGTTATTTCAAATTATATTGATATTTTTATTGAATGCAATTAAAGATGGCTATAGAAAAATATGTTAATATTATCTTTCAAAGTTACGTGTTGTTAGTGTTAAACATTTTTGTTCAAAAATTTTATAAGTTTATGAAAGTTAGTACTTTACAACGATCCTTTAATACATTCGCCACAAAGCTCATTTTACCTAACTTTCCATTCACACAGATAACATTATTTTAAATTAAAATGAAGAAAGTATGTTAATTTATTATATTCTACACATCGTATGTATTGCGTGTTATTTTTCACATTTGGCACACAATAATCACTAGTAACGTTGGAAGCCTCAGTTGTGACTGATGACAGTATATTTGCCCTAAAAAGGCCTAAAGCTAGAATTCAATTGTTCAAATTTATTTAAAAAGATATTTTTTTTATTTAAAGAACTTTTTTATTTAAAAAAATTTTTTTAATTTTTTTTAAGAGATTTTTTTTAATAAATTTGTATTTCTTTAATAAATTAATAATTTGCATTATGTGTCGTCTATCGAATAATAAAACTAACGGCAATATTAAATATAATGCTTATTAAATTTTTTGTAAAAAAGAATTGTTAAATTTTTATATTTTTCTATTTTTTTTTATTATACTGTAGTGTACGAATATACAAAGAAAGTACGAATATACAAAGAAAGGATTAATGAAAGTAATTAACTTCTTGTCATTCGTTTCTGTAGATACCTATACGTATAATAAAATTATTAAGTTACTTGCAATGTTTTTTTTTTTTAAATAATTCTTGAATTTATAAAGACCTACGAGAGTATCGAGGTACAATCTTTTATTTAAAAAAAAGGTGTTCTTAGCATGCGTATCTCATGTGGACATTCACTCTTCATTCATTCGCTGCACACTCGTTGTTTTTCGCTGGGATATTCGCTATGTTATCTTCTCACTCATCCATCTATCTGCTAAGCTCTTCGAAAACTTTTTTCTTTTGAACATTTGTTCCTTTACTTTTCTCTTCCTCTCTCTTATACTTTCTGCAATCAACTGCGTCCAAGTACTCCAGGTTATCCGACCCAAACTCAACGATCGCGCACATTTGTAACACACATTTTTTTTTTCGATGAATGCTATGTTATGTGAAATGTAGATCATTATTTGATACATAATAATGTAATTATTTAAAAAGACCACGTCAAGAAGATAATTTTCATCCATGTGTTTACTCGTAATCTAAAACAGCCGTTGGTTTTTTCTTGATCTTGTAGTTTCTTTTACCGTATCAGCAAACTGAAGAGCAAAGACATATATACATATGTACCTACTTATGCATTTCAATATAACAACCAGGAAAATTGAACGCACGTCTGCGTTCCGAATGCAAATGACTTAATTTGAGAGTTAAATGTATGTATGTACCTATGTAAGAAAAATAACGTCTCATGAAATCTAATAATTAATAATTTAATTTTAACTTCTGAATAATTGAATAATAAATTATATTTTAGTCATAATAGTTTAACAATTTATTAAAATGCTTATTTAATTTCTTTGTAATCGTTTCTGCAAATTCTTCGAAATTTTTCTATAAATTATCTAGTTATAGTAATAAATTATTTTATGTTCTAAATATATTAAACTCTTATTGGTTAAACTTTTATTCAATAATATCTCACCAATTAGAATAATTTGAAAAAAATTATATTAAAAAATTAAAATAACATATTAGTAACATATCAAAAAGTTATTAGCAGTAAAAATGCAAATTTATATCAGTTGTTCTTTTCTCAATTTTTGTTATTACTTTACAACAACACTATTTTATATTATATTTAAATTATTATAAATTATTATGAATGAATAAAACATAAAAATGATGAATTAATATTGTATTTGATAATGTGATATATTTTTAATAAAAAAAGTCTTTTATTTACAAACCTAGTATTCAGTATGACCATGCCTGATGAATCTATTGAAACAAGTATATCTTTCACACCACTTCCCATTATAGCTGAACTAGGCTCATTAGAAACATACACGATAGGTGTCCAAATTAAATCATGTACAAATTTTCCACCATATATTTGAGTCAAGTATGGAGCAATATTTGAAAATTTTAACCTATTATCCAAATATCTAAATTGCAACATCATATGTACATCAAATTGCTGCAAAAATATTTTAAAAAGATATTTATAAAGATATTTATAAAACATGTAAGGTATCACTATTTTGTAAAATGTATGAAGAATGAATATGAATATGTACAAAGAATGTATATTAAAATTTATATAAATTGAAAGATATAATTATAATACAAGCTACCAGTGTTTTTGCCATATTTGATTTAATTGTGTAAATGTAAGCCCTGGTATATACGTGAATTGGATCTGTAGAATTAGTTTTCCCTGGTGGTCTAATCATCTTATCATAGCGACAATTATTTGTTAATTCTTGTAAAAGTTCAGTTTGTGTCATAGAGCTGTTACTATTTAACATTGGACAACTTTCTAATCTGTAAATATATGTAATTTTATATACATAAATAAGTATATTTTCAAAATCTTGGTAATTTTCTAATACTTAATAATAAAATGTATTAATATAAGAAAATTTTGTAGAAAATTTATAAGAAAATACATAATATTGAAGGAAAATTCATATTTTGATAACATATATAATAGTATATATGTTTATTAATGACATTTAACTTCAGTATATAAAAAATTAAAGCTGCTCTAAAAGAAAGTCCTTGAATTAAAATTCCAGACGTTTCTAAGTAGTAAGAATAGTTCATTGTTGCTTTGTACCAATGCTGATGACATAATGCAATGCATGTGACTACATTAGAAAAAGAATTTCTTTGTTATTAGAAGCTGAAATATTTCTGAAAAAACATTTGCTATGGATATGTAATGCATTTATTACTGATATGTAATTGCTTTATGAAATAAGCATTAGAACTATCACGACTAGAGCATAAAATATACATTAAAGAAATTAAAGAATAGATAACAACCTATATACAATTAATACAATTAGGGACTCAAGCTTTTATTTATATAATTTACAAAAAATTAATCCAATTCCTGAAATTATATTATTGTACATTTATAAAATTTCTATGAATAATTATAAATTTTATCATTTTGACTTCTCTGGTAGTTCTGTTAGTATGAATAAATCTAAGATACTTCATGAAAGTATATAACAAAACAATTCTATTTCGTAATTTATTAGATAAAATAGAAATTTTACAAAACTAGAAATTTTTAAATGTTTAATGCATTTTATTTATAATGTTATTAAGTTTATTATATTTTATCATAGAATTAGTGCAAAAATAAAAAAAATTTATTTATTAACTAAAACAATAAAACAATAAAATTTTGATATTCTAATTAGAACTTTAATACCAATTTCAACAATAAAGTCTTATCTACCACATGAGCATGTTAATTTATGATATCAAACATTCAACTGTTTATGTAAGTTATCAGTATTTTTCTTCATAAAATTGCATATCATGATTCAGAAGAGTTCGTTTTTTATTTGATGCATATAAACGAGTGCATATTATAATATAAAATATATAATATAATACATATATAATATAAAACAATTTAAAATAATTTGAAATATATCATATATAATATTAATATATAAAATTCTTTCTCAATTTTTCAAATCGATATTCTTATTGTATATATTTTATAAATCTTACATAAGAAAATGATAAAAATCAGAAAATTATAAACTAAAATTTAATGATTGGTGCCATAATAAATATAGATAAATTATAAAAATAAAGAAATATTTTTCTTATTTTATTTTTATATGAAAATTATCTTATTTATGCTGTTTAATAATGTAATAATTAAAATATGATAGAATAACATAAAGTTAATCAAAATTAATTGCAATAATTAGAAGATTAGTATAATCGACTTTGTTATAATCATTAAGTTTAATTATATAATCATATGTATAATCATATGTATAATCATTAATATTTACACAAGTGCCTTATTTAAATATGAAATATGTAGAAATAGATAGCAATTATAGATATTTAAAAAAATATATATTTTTGATTATAATTTTTATTGAAATTTTCAACCAAACTATTCACCCAAAATTGCTTTTTTCTATTATTTATTTAATACTTTAAAGATTTTTGTAAAAAGAATTGTATTATACATGTATTCCTTATATACAAAATTTATATTGTGCATATATTGTAGTCTTATAATGTTTTGAATATTTTTGAACATTTTTTTATTAAAATGATGTTTATTTTATGAATGTATTTTATTAGACTGGAAGTGATGTTTTTTTGTGATTGTATTCGTATTTGTTCAAAATTATAGAAAATGAGATTAATATATAGATTCAAATTTTAGTTAAATAAGCTTCTTTATATAAACACAAAAGTTAAAAATTTTTATAATTGCATTTGTATTAACACTTAATAATACATATGACATATGATGTTTTAACTACAAAAGAAGAATATTAGTTATTATTAAATTTAATTATATTAAAAATTTAGAATGGATAGTAACTTACATGGTAGATGTATTTAAATGAAAAGTTTGTAGTAGATGAATAAAAAAGACGAAAGAATAAATTCTCCTTAAAGCCATCTTAAGTTTCCCGATGACTTATCTGCTTCACTAATAAACTTGGACTGATTCTTTCTTGAACATACATGTATGGTCTTTGAGTAAATTTGCTGGAAACCAAACATTACTCAACCATTCCTCCCACTAAGAGTATTCTTTTATAAAGTGAACACTTAAATGCTTGTGAAGCAACACTATAAGTTGATATTATGTACAATGTAGTGTGTCAAAACTGTGAAATAAGCTGAAATACTTAAGTATATATAAATTTTTAAGTAAATATTACAATAAAAACGTTAGAAAATATTGTCTTAACACATTTAGGTATATATTATAGTTATAATTTATAAAATATAAAAAAAAAAACTTTGAAATTTATATATATTTTGATACGTACTGTTTACATATTAAGTAATTTACAGTAATTTATACTTCTATACCAAAAATAAGGATTCACATGTATTATATAATTTTCAGTCTTTATATTTACACTTACTATAATTATAAAATTTTTAAATTAAATATATTTAACTTATTTACATGTTTTATATATAAAATACGTTTATATATGAACTGTCATTATTTACTATGTAATAAGTATTACAGATTTTACAATATTAAATGTTACTTTTTTGTACGATTTATTCTTGTAAAACAGTTAACTATTTAAAACTCAATCACTTTTCATTTTTCATCACAACAGTTTATATTATAAACTATTAAAAGTTTATATATGGCTTATATATAGTTTATATAAGATTTTTATATAGAAAATAAAGACTCATTTTAAAAAATATAAAAATTTTCGGAACTTATTCGTTAGATATATGCTTAGTTCATTTCTATGGATGTCATATGTGGTTTCATACGATTGAGAGTATAAGTAAATAAATGAAGATTTTGTAACAATTTTGTGATTCTTATATAATGACGTTCAGTATATGGTATCACAGATTCCAATGTGGAAGTTAATTTTGTTTGAAATTCCAAATTTTCCATTTCCATCATTAATGCGTTTATGACTACCTATTAATCGTAAACATTACAAAAATATATAGAATTAAAATTAACTTTTTCACTTAAAGAAATAACATTCAATCATATATGAGAACTTACCTGAGCAACTTGACAATTTTTACTATTGACGTTCCACGTAATAGCACACTTCAGTAGCTCTTCTTTATACATTGGTTTTAATTTATTAATTGTTTCTTCAATGGAGACATTTTTCTTTAATATGGCTGATATATAAAAAATAAAAATCATAAGAGAGATGGGAAGATAGTTATATTTCTTTTCAATTATTAGTTTATATAGGATGATTCATTTTATCTTACATTCACAAGATGATATATGTATATAAAACATATCTTTTACAACAGTAAAATAATTGACAATGTTTACTTTAATTCAGAATTTTCAAAAATAAGATAACGAAAAACGGCATGCAAAATCTTAATTTATCTTATCTCAAGAACTTAGTTATAAATTTCTATTTTTCTTTATAAATATGTATATAAACAAAATTTATTTGTATAATTTTTAAAAATTTTTTAAAAGAGCTTGATTACTTTATTATTCTGAGTCTTTAAATTAAAAGTAATTATTTTTGGTTAAGTTTAAATACAGTAAGATGTGTGCATATCAAAAATTTAAAAATATGATATCCTAGAAAATGATCTTTGCTGAAATTTTTTTGTTCATAAAATATTTATATTGGCTCACGTAAAAAAAAGAGCTCATATTTAAATATGTAATTTAAGAATTTTTTTAAGTTAAATGAATCAATTTATACATAACTATATCAGAAATTATATTAAATGATGCATGTTAGTAATTTGTAATTGCAACTTACATTCTACAATTTTGAGGACTTGGAAAGGACGTTCCAACTTTAAAGCTATTTTTAACGCAGAAGTTAATTTATCTGCTTTTAGTAAATTTGCTAATTTTTGTTCTTCCAGTGCAAGTTGTTCTAATTCTATTGCAGCTTTTATTTTCTTTTCCTCAGTTACATCTTTCCAAATAACTAGCAATGAGTCACTTCCACCACTGATAATATTCTTCTCATTTTTGCTAACTATAATTGAAATATATAATAAATATAAAATATAAAATAAAATATTGTAAAAAAATATTAATTAGATGTAAAATATTACATTATTAATTAAATGTTAAAATATTAGTTAAATGTAAAATAAACATATTAATTAAGTTAAATGTAAAAAACATTAAAATAATGTTCACCTGCAAGTGCCCATACGCGACTTTCATGCTGTTCTAAAGTACATATACATTCCGATGTTTTAATATTCCAAAGTTTCAAAAGACCATCTCCACTTGCACTAATTATTTGCATCCCCCGTGACAAAAATTCTGCTTTTAATACTGATGATTCATGACCTTCCAATGTCTATCATATAAATACAATTATTAATAATAATAAATGTATATCTTAATAATGATAATTATATTATAGATATATTTATAGATTTTTAGTGTTAAAATTACTTTCAAACATTGAAGTTCTGTCAGTGACCAAATTTTTAGTGTACAATCTGCCGATGTCGTCAGAAGTACTTGATCTACAGGTGAAAATCGAACACACCAAACTCCTCTACGATGACCTCGAAATATACCAAGTAATTGTAAATCATCAGCCGACCATAACTATAACAATCAGAATAAACATTTCTAAAAAAAAAATCCTTTAAGTAGATCCATATTAAATTTGTGTGGGAATATAATTGAAGATAATAATATATATTCGAAATGTTAATATTGAAGTTAATATTAAAAAAAATACTAAAATTAAATAATTATTTACCAGAGTGAATACATTTTACAAATATAAAATGTTTATGAAGATATTTAAAATATTTAATTTTTGACTTAAAAATAAATAAGAAATAATATGAAAGCATGTAACAGATTTTACCTACCATATAATGTTATTCTTTATGTTATAATGTTCGCTTTACACTATTAATACTCTAATAATTTTTGTAAAAATATATTTAATTTATGAAATATTTTACCGTTCTTGTTTAAAAGAAACATCGTACATATAATGTTTGAAAAATTTAATTATACCTTAGCTGTTTTATCTTGAGATCCAGTAGCAATTAATTTATCATTTGGTGAAATAGTAACGCTATTAATGTCTTTCTGATGAGCTAATGTTGTATGAATAACATTTAAAGAGCATGTGTCTGCAATCATTAAACACACAAAATGACATTAACAATAAGTGTTAAAAATAATGATATAAATAAAATATGATATAAACAAAATTTTGTTTACCTTCAAAATTAATATTATCGGGCAAACTCCATAATTTAAGACATGAATCTTGACTAACAGTAGCAAAAAATTTTGCAGATTTTTGAGAAATTTCTACAGAACCAATAGAAGCAGTATGTCTAATAGCAGATGCAATGCAAGAAACTTTACTTGTTTCTTTATCCATAAGCCATATCCGAATACTATTGTCCTATAAATTATGAAACATTATTAAAAATTTCATAGATACTTCATAAATTTTAATTTTTATATTAAAGCATTCGTAAATTAAAAATAGTCACAAAACTTTTTAAAATTAATATTATTTATCTGAAAATTTTATATTGACAACAAGATACATTATTTTATTCTGTTATGAGAAAAATATGGTAATCTTTTCGAATAATAAAGAAAGAAAAACTTAACATAATTTATGAAATGTATATACCTTTCCTGATGATATAAGTAAATACGCATTTACCAGTGTAGTAGAAAGAGATAATACAATATCTGTATGGCCACGTAGTAATTCGCAATCCATAGTTAAAATATTGTACAACTTTATATCATTACTATTAGTAGCAATTGCCATATGACTTCCATTATTTCCAAGATATACAACATCTAAAATCTCATCAGTGTAACCTATAAACTATAACATTAAAAAATTGTATTTATGACATAAAACTATCTATTAAAATATAAATTTCATTGTTCTAAAAAACAAATTTACCTGTTTCACATAATCAAATGTTTTTAATGAATGAATAATTATATTGTGATCAACTGTAACTACAGCAAAGTTGTTACTAGCAGGATTGTAAAGTAAACGCGTAATTGACAAAATTCCAGGTTCTTTTGCAGTTGATACAATGGAATTTTTTTGTATATACACTTCTTTCCCAGTTTTCATTTCCCAAATTTTTACAACTCCTAAAGAAAGTTGAATTACAGAATAAATATTTAATTATTATTTATAAATTTATATAATTCTATAAAATGCGTAGAATTTAAGAGAAAATAGAACTTTGAAAAAGCCAGATAAGAAATTGACCAACATTAATTAATTTTATGTAGATATTTTTTATAATAAAATTAATAATTTATATTGAACCTTTTTCCCCCGCAGCAGCGACGTGTACAGCATTTTCATCTTTATCATAAAAAGGTACGGGCACTAACGCATTTTTAGGAATAATAAATGTATCTTCTATTTCCTCGTAAACTGGTAAAATTCGTATTGACGATGCAGAAGAAAGATTCCATAAAATGAGAACTCTATCTCTTCCTGAACTGTATAAGATCAATGTGCATTACATATATCAAATTTTATATTCATACAAAAAATAAAGCATATAGTTTCAATATATTACCTAACTAAATAATTCTCATTCTTGAGAAAGGATAAAGAAGTAATTTTACTGAAATGTCCAGAAAGAGTAATTTCTTTTCTTCCAGTTTTAATATTCCATCCATGAATTTTGATATCATCACCAGCAGCAAAAATGAGCTCTTTTTCAATATTTGGATGAAAGGCTAAAACACTAAAATTATATTATAATTTACAAATTTTATAAAAATGATTATACTGTAAATATTTGTGATATAATTAAAAATAAATAGCACAAGAAATAAATAAGTATAAAATTCCCATAAAATTTTTTAATTAAAAATTTTACTTTTGTATTTTCGCTTTAGAAGTTTTACTAACTTCTTTTTATGTATGTACTATGTATATACGATGTTTTCTTTATTTTTGGTGAGATTTATTATGATATATAAAGAAACCAAATTAATGATTATCTGATCACTTTCCTGACTTATAGAATTTTAAATTACTTATAGCAGTATATATTCAGTACAAAAATATATACAATTTATTAAAAACAAAAAATAATTTCTTAATACTGATTTTTTAAAAATTATTGTAAAATACATAATTTTATATTCTATTGTAAAATATGTCTCTAATATTTTTTACAAATGATATGAAAATAATAGTTTATTTAAAATATAAAATAAATACCTTGTAATTCCCTGAATTTCTTTTAGATTATGAGTACAAGTATGATGTTGTAAATCCCACAATCTGACACTACCATCAGTACCTCCAGAAGCCATCAAATTTCTTTCAACAGAATGAGCAATATGAACTACAGGACCCTTATGAATAGATTTCCATAATTTAATTAATTTATTAACTGTAATAACAGTACATACATTATTATATTTTAATTAATTTATTATAATTAGATTAAATAATATTATATATTACCTTTCCAGTTCCATAATTTAAAAAGACCACTTTTATGATATGTGATAATGTTTAAGTCATTATCACTTGCAATAAATGTGTTGATTGTATCTTCTTCTTCATTGTTATTACTTTCTCCCAAATAAGATATTACTAAGCCATTCTGTATTGATAATATGGACACTGTACCATACTTTTGACAGAAGATATATTTACCATCTGTACTCCACTATGATAAAAGAACAAAATAACAATTATATAATAAAATAAAGGAAAGTAAACATATATAATTCTTAGTTATGTATATTTAGTTAATTATATATAATACTTAGTTAATAACATATAATTTTTAGTTAACATACTTGTACATTTCCTCCTGTATAAAATGCACCATATTTGGATTCAACTTCGAATCTGCAATTAAACATAATTTGTTAAGTATATTTTAATATCTAAAATTTTTTTCTACAAAGATTTATGAATCTATAAATACAAAATATTTCATTTCAACTTTTTTACTAGTGTATTTCAACAAAGAATATTATGAGTGATCAATTTATAAAAAAATAATGCAAAATATTCAACATTAACAAGACGTAAGACATTATTGGATAATGCAAAAAGTTCTTATTAAATAACAAAATTTTATTTAACAAATCACTTTGAATTAAAAAGTCACACACATAATAAATCCAATTTTAATTAAATAGAACATCATGCATATAAATTATAAAATGTGAATTATTTATTATATGTGATTACATGACAATATAAACATTATATGATACCAATAATATTTACTAACATAATATAACAAATTATATTTTTATTAAAATAATTTATAAAAAAGAAATAGTTATAAAATAGAAATAGTTACAATGTTTATTTAAAAATAAGAATTATTTAATGCTTATCTATAAAATAAATTCAACAGTGTCATTTTAAAGAAATTACTTAAATTTACTTACACTTCTTTTAGGGTGTTACTCATTTTTCATAAATTAATATAAAAACTTAATTATGTTTTACGAATAGTGTACTTTTATTTACATATCTTGCGAAGAGGTTATGTTCGTCAGTAACACGTGTGTATACTTCCTTTAACATACATACATATTAGAATAGCAAAATACCATCATGAAAACGATTATACCAATAGCAATAGTTTCCTCACAGATTATTTAATTTCATGATTTGAGTTACAAAACTTCACTTTTATCAAAATTTTCAATATTATAGTTATTTTCTATATATCACAAATTTTATTAAATAAATAACTTTTTTATATCACAAATATGTAAACTGCAATTTTTTAAAAACATTTTTATGTGTATTTTATGTTATTAGCTTATATTTATCCAAACTTTTTTTTTTTAATATTATATCAATACTTTATCTTTATTTCATAAAAATAGAAATAATTAAACTCAGATGTTCATTTCTTAATTGGTTTATAAACATGTGAAAAAAAATATATACATTACAAAAGAATATAAATATATTACGAGTATATTATAGATATTATATTACAATACATTACAATACATCATTAATAAATTATAAATACAATCTACTAGAAATGAAATAAATATTTAGTTTTGGTATTAGTATTTATTTTTCTTCAAGTGAGAACAACTATATATTTCTAGTGATTTTAATATTCAAAGGCTGGCGGAATGTCTTTCGTTTCTTTGTGTGTAGATATGTATATGATCTTTTCAATCCTTCAATGAATGTTTAGATCTATGGGATCTATGAGTATATTATCAATTTGAATCAGTATTCATTCATACACTGAGAATTAATTTCTAATAACATTGACTAATTAGCATAGACTGGACATCCAATGTTTTTTCGTCTGAGGTATTGGCGTTAGAAATTAAAATAAAAAAATATAGACAGCGTTGCCGTTCCTCATCGAAAATTATTTATTAAATTGAATCCGGTAACACTTTATCACGAACACGCTATGAGGAGCCACAGGACAACAAACTAAAGGAAAATATAATATTTTTTACAAATTATAGAATATGGAAAAAAGGAGAGTAAAACATGAACTATGATGCAAGACAAACAATTTGCTCGTTGAAAAGGAAATAAAAATTTCTGTCAAGGTTTTATAATCAATCGTGCCATTGATAACATAAAACAAGTACTTTAGTTAAGTAATATAGTTTAATTTTTACTTTTAGAAAGTTTTAATGATATTGGCGGCAATTGGACGAGTTTTATATTTTATTGATACTTTTTTCTTGTTTTGTTTCAAACTTTAAACTATAATGATTTTTTTTATACTTTAAAAGAACGCACGGAAAGTTAGAAATTTAGAGAATTTAAAGTTACAAAAAAAAATGCTTTTTTAAAATGAAAAGACAAGCTGTTAGTAAAATAGCAAAGATAGGTGACACTGTTGTCGTAAATCAAAATGTACAACCCAAAGCCGGAAAATTTACATTTTGGAACGGTGATGTTTATGTTGGAGAATATAAAATAAATCATGATCGATATCTTTTAATGAAGCAAGGTAACATTTCACCTAAACATTACCAATTGAAATTCTGTTAATTGCATTGTTTACATAGGGAAAGGAACGTACGTTACTGATAATTTTGATGTTTATCACGGAGAATGGAATGACGATACATTTTCTAGCAGTGATATTCATATTAAGTAACAAAGACAGTTTCACAATCTACATGATGACATAAATTCATGTACAATTTATTTAAGGTATAATAACGGCGCTCAGTATCGTGGTCGAATAGATTCAAACGGAATGATGAACGGTTTAGGGACATACATATTTCCCGATGGATCTTCGATTGGAGCCATATGGCATGATAATAAGCCATCCAGAAATATTATTTATAGAGAACCTCTTGGATTTGCATGGGTAGTTGAAGATGTATCAATAGACGTAAGAAGTTTCTCTTTAAATCAAGTATACAAAATTGAAGATCATAAATATGACAAGCGTTTTGAAAGTTTTATTAAAAATATCTTGTCAGATGTAACTTTGATTGTTTACAAAGTTTTATAGATTTATTTGTTTTGACAACGTTTATACTTCTGTACTATAAATCATAAAATTATTCTTTATACTTCTGTTCTATAAATCATAAAATTATTCTAGCCACTAATCCTAATGATCAATTAAAATGTTTATTTTCACTGTTTTCTTACATGCTCTTCAATTTTTTAATTCAAAAGGATTGAAAAAAATATTACCCTGAGAATTGAAAGATTTAAATTTAAATTAACAAGTTTCACATGTTACAGTCCATCACGTTTTCCGCTGGAAATCATTTTTGGAACGACATGTTGTCCGATGATAGTACCATGCCTTCTTCCAAGTCTTTCGATCAAAGTGAACTAATTTAGTTCCTTAAGAATTTAATTTCTCAGTCCTCTTTGTACATCGGAGGAACCGTGTATCGACTTATCGGTGATTTAAACAGAGGATTTTGGTTTAAGCTGAACACAGTTTTCTGTTGTTCTTTCATGAACTTTTCATATTCTCTCCTGTCTTTTATGGATGTCCAAAACCTACATCCGATATAATGCGTATATCAATATCTGTTTCCAATAAATTCTATTTTATTGTCATTTATCAATTAATTCCTATTTTATTGTACTTACTTCCAAATTAGTAGACAAGCAAGTCCGAGACATACTATTCCGAGGATAATTGCAGTTGGAACGACCGCTGCGTGTATGGAAGTATGGCATTTCTAAATACATTGAAACAGACACATTTAAAAAAAGTGTTATGATGACTTATTTAAACTATGGATTTACATGCATTTACAGAATATTTAAAGACGCGAGAAATGCACAGAATATGTAAAAATATCGAGTCACAAATAATGCGATATTTCTCAGAATTGAGTTGAAAACGATGAAGATTATTGCTATCAGAATTGTATAAAATTGAAATAGAAAATGAATGAAAAACTTATAAAAAGAATACAAGAAAAATTGTCACTGATTTCATTTAATATACGAAAATCTACGATTACTTTGGAAATATCCAAGTATATAGTATTCTTCGTAACATTTAATAAGCAAAAATTTAAAGAAATTTAATGTTAAAATTTATTCACAGCGTTGTAACAATATTTTCGAATATGGATGTTATGGTCACCTTGTTACCAATTTTCAAACTGACTACGTTATTCTTCTGGAACTCGTACACGTAATGTACGAAACAAGTCGTCCTTTCTCTCACCGTCTTCACGAAACAGTAGTGCTTGTTTTCTAAAATAAATATTACTTCGTTGGCATGATCGTGTTCATTTGACTTGCGCTCTCTCAATTTACCTATATCAACGGATTCCACTTTTTCAATGTCGTAAGTGGTAACATTTGTTTGACAATATTCGTCTGCCTCTTCCGGATTTTCAACAGTGGCGTTAACACAACGATCGTAAAGAACGCAGAGGCCACTGCCACCAGCGCTTATCGATGATTCACAATAAGTACCTCGATAATAGAATCCATCTGGGGCGGTAACATTGCATCTGTGAGTAACATTCGACACGTTTACGTAGAATGGTATATTTTAATACTATCGATCAGTTGTTTAACATAGTTATAGATATTTAATATTCCGTGGGTATATAAAAAAACATGGAATATTCGAGTTGGGGAACAAATGTTTTAACTACATAGAATAACTGGAAACGATATCCAATATTCAGAACATAAAGAAACAACATTCTTTGCAAATAATAAATACGAACCGACATTCACCACAGTCGCAGTATCCATGACCAGCGCAAATTTCCTGACTTCCTGGTGCGATGCACAGATCATTGGTTGATGGACACTGACAAGCATTTCCTTTCCAGTCTTCTATACATTGGCAAACACCACACTGACAAGTACCCTTATTCGAACATTCAATTCCATCTATCTATAAGAAGAACATTAATTTAAGATCTTTGTTTTCTTTTTCTAATTCAAATAGATTACACGGCTATTTTATCAAGCTAATGGAAAGAGACAAGAAAAATGAAAATGCTTCTCAAGAGTACAAAATGTATATAATACATATATATATATATATATATA